AAGGTCCAGTTCTGTCTGTGAGTCAGATCAGGTCTGCTGACTGAAGACAAAGGCTCTGGCTGGCAGCTATCCCAATAAAGAAGCCACTTGACATGACATTTGGTGGACAGTGATCACCAGGTAACTGTCATCTCTGATAAAAATCTAAGTGGGAGAATTCTCAGAGTTCAATGATGACTTGGCATCATTGAAAATAGGTAAAACTCTGTAATTATCAGAACAATATGGCTGAATGGTACACACCAGTAAGCATGACACCCAGGAGGATGAAGCTGGAGGATTGTAGTGAGTTCTTGGGTAACAGAATAAGATCTTATCTCAAAAGCCAAATAAATGAGGCTGGAAAGATGGCCCACTGGTTAGAAACAATTGCTGCTCTTGTAGAGGACCCAGGTTTGCTTCCCAGCGCTCACATAGCGGCTCACAGCCGTCTATAACTCCTGTTCCAGGGGAGCTTGGGTCCTCTCTGACCTCCTCAGGCACCAGGCATGCACATGGTACAAATATACACATACAGACAAACACCCAGATGCATAAAATAAATAAACCAAAAATCTTTAAAAATTAAATAAACATATCCTGTCTGGGCACATGAGGACACTTCACTGTTCACTGTCCTGACCCCACCTTACATCTGAGGAATCTAAGAAGCAAAGGGGTAAAAAATCACATGGTCCTGCCATATCCTGTCTGACACAAGGCATCCGACTGCCCATGCAGGTGGCCAAATCTCACCCATAGCGGGGACACTGTCACAGCAGTTATGATTGCCATAGCTGCATCGTCACGTGATCTAGACTTCAGAGTCTTTGGTCGCCTGACTGCAGACTGACTCAGGCTACAGGAAACAGACAAGTGCATGTAAGCATCTCTCATCAATATGTTTTCTTTCAACACCGAACCCAGGCTGGTCCCGCTCCATCACTTGAGGATTTCCCCTCACCTGTGTTTATCTCTGACAGCAGTGGAAGGAAGGTGTGACCCTGTGATTAAGCTATCCTTGCCCACACCACCTGTCAAGTTTGGGCAGCTTGGGCACATGTGAAGTGGTGCCTCAGCCCTGGACAGTCTAAAGGGAGCCAGTCACTCCTGCAGAGCCATGGCGCCCTCTCCTGGTATCTGTAATACATTGCAAGAGTAAATTCTGGAGGTTGAAACGGCTCATCCCCAGGAGGGCCTGTCCAGCAGCAGCCCGGTCTTGAGAGCTCTGTAAGGAAGCAGGTGGGGCTTGCTGCCTTCCTTCTCCATGGCCTTCAAATGACAGGATGGTATGTGATGTGTGTATGGATGTGTGGCTCAACAAAGTTTACAAACCAGCCTGTTGAAAAATAGCCTGGTTCCTCAAATTGGGGACAACATGGTTCCCTAGGCTACTGTGCCCCACAGCATTTCCTTCCTCCTGGGTAGCCAGGCAACCAGGCCTGAAGTGTAACCACAATTCTGTCAGAGGAAGGGGCAGAGAGAGTTAGCGCTGTGCCTGCTGAGATACTCCCTTGAGACCGAAGCAATCTTCCAATGGCATTTTACCAGTTAGCATAAAGTCTCAGACTCACGCACTACTGCTGAACCAAGGATTGCCTCTGGCCTGGAAAAGCCACAGAGGAAATGTCTGGATTCAGCTGACTGACTTAGTGTGTGGCTTAGAGCCATCAGGTGTAGCATGCGTGCCTAGTCAACCCTGCCTGTGAACTTCTCTACGGTATCCAGTTCATCCCATCCAGGAGTTCTTTCTTAATGGAAATAGTACCCCCTACCATGATGTCCAATATCCTACGTGTGTGTCCTGAAATAATGTGTTGCTAGAGGAGACAGGTTTCACTATATTCTACGTTCTTTACCTGTCCTTCTGATGCAAAAAAAAAAAAAAAAAAAAGAAATGATCTCTGAGCATGTGCAGATGCCCTTGGTAGGGCTGCTGACGACTTGATGTTCACAAAATATAAGCGATGTCAAGGGGGCTTGCTTTCCCGAGCCTACAGGACAGCTAGAGAAGTTCTTATGAAGTGGAGGGGGCTGGATTCACTGGGAACCCCGTCTGTGCTACCAGCAGTTTATAAAGAGTTCTCCTATAAGGGATGGCTCAATTGGTCACAGTCAATACTAAGTCTGATAACCTGAATTAGATTCTTGGGACACACATGTCAAAGAAGAGAATCAACTTCCAAAGGTTGCTCTCCTCTGATCTCTACCAGGACAAACAAACAAAAAACCCAACCAAGGTCATTTGAGCTTTCCTCTCCCATCTGCCATTTTTCCTCTTTATCCTGGAACTTCTGCAGCTGCCAGAGAAGGGCCAGGAGGAAGGTTACTGAGTTCGAGGGCAGAGGCTCAGCAGCTCACTCAGGACTGCTGAGTACCTAGGGTACACAAGCCCTCCCAGCCGGCTTGACTCAGTGCAGTGCGAACCTAAGACGTCCACAGGTAGAGTGCCTCACATGCCCCTGGGCTCTGACTCATGCAGAATGAGCCTGCATGCGTGAGGGTGACTCAGGTCCTGCTGCAGCCCACAGTGCAAGAGCTGTGAACTGCCTTCATGTCACAGGCACGAGCGCATTCCTGGCCCAGGTCCTGGGAGCACCTGATTTATTGTGGAAAGACCTGTAACTTTTGCATTGCATTAGCTTCCATCTTCCAGCCAGGAAGCCGTCTCCTGGGACACCTCACCGCTTCAGAAATCAGAGCATTTACATAAGTCACAGACGGGACTCACAAAGGCCTTCTATGTGATATAGTTCACATGTTACATACATTTTCTCTGTGTGTATACACACATACACACATAATGGTAAAGTCAGGGTTCCTAAGATCACTAATAAACTAAAAAAGCAATTAACTAGACCTAGGACCACAGCTCAGTGGTAAAGCACTCACCTAGTATGTATCAACTCCTGAACTCCATCCCTAGGACAGAAAAACACCCCAACCAATACTCAAGATGACACTTGCCTAAACAGTACGTAAACCCAGGCATGCATATATTGCCTTTTCTTTGGTATCTCTGATATGTGTCTGTGAGCCTTAGTTCTGTGTTCACACTTGGAAAACATAAGCAAAGGAACAATAGTTTCTACCAAATGTCTAACACACAGGCAGACACTGTGCTCTGTACCACGCCTTGTACACCTTGCTGTTATATATTCCCCCCCACTGCCTTCTGCTCTTACCTCTGACCAGGCCCCAGGAGCTACTAAAATATGAATACCCCACTTTCTAAAGACAGAAATGCCCCAAGAAAATTCCTGTGGAAATGGACACAGCTAAGGAAATTGTAGAGCCCCTCCCCTGCTGGCCCACACCTCCCCTGCTGGCCCACACTTCCCCTGCTGGCCCCCACCTCCCCTGCTGGCCCCCACCTCCCCTGCCAGCCCCCACCTCCCCTGCTGGCCCCCACCTCCCCTGCT